GTGGGTCAGCTCATGGTTCTTATGCTCAAAAAGCACACACGCACACACTGCGGACAGTTTAATTTCTCTGTCTCTCCGACTGTCCTGGCGGCTAATATTTAATATTTGACTGCATTGTTTTTAAATAGCAGTGTTTTCAGTGTCTGTTGGCTGGTGAAATGATTCCTTATTGCAGTGGAACAAAAAGTGTTATATTCCTATATCTTTCTTTTGTTCTTTCGTAAAAAATGTTAAGCAACGTCTTTTGAGGCAATGTTATGTTATGGACTGCATGTGAGCTGCATAAGATTAGGGCTTTTACAATAGCGGCTGCTGAGATTGAACATTCATTTTTTCCAATAATACATTTTTCCAATGATATTTAATAATCCAAATACTGCATTCATGTAACTTGCTCTGTTGATGATCCAGGACGTTGATGGTTTCCCATAAATGTTTATGTGGTTGATTTTTTGGAGTGGTTAAAAAGCACAGTTCTGTAACTACCTGAGTTGAGTAAGAAATCGTAGAGTAAAAACATTGCAGAGGCTGAGGGTAAACTTTAATAGCTATAATGTTTTACAGGAGTTTCAGGCCTTTTTGGCTGTGAACATTTTGTTCTTGGGAGAGTTTTCTTTTTAACACTACAAGCTTCAAATTTCTGCTTATTATCTAAATCTCTTTTGGGAATCATGTATTAACATAGTTTTTCATGCACTTAGGTAACTCTAGTTTCAAAGTTATCTAAACCTTATCCGGTATGTATGAGTGATGTGTGAGAGAATTTAAGAGTGGCATAAAATGTAAAAGTGGCACTTTCACGCCTGTCAACAATCTCTAAATATAAACCCATGGACCGGGAAGTGTGTGCCCATACTCTCACACACGTGCACACACACACAGACATTTAGACAGGCCTGCGGTTTTGACTCCTTTCTCTATGTCTCCATTAAAAAAAAGAGAAAAAATCAACTTCGACTGCTTTACTTCCCGACAGCCTCGACAGTCAAACACACACACACACACCAGTCACAGTCGACAAGACATTTTTATATCCAAAATTGGATTCCTTTTCGTTCCTCTCCAAAACTCAGCAGACAAACTGGAAAACTCGAGTTGACAAGTTTCAGCATCGTGTTGGCACAGCCAAAGCATCGGTTACACACTCAAAGCAGCCATGCAAGAACAATATTTATTCCGACCAGTCAACAAAAAAGGAAGGCTTCGATAAAACAAGTGCTCTTTGTCACCAGTGTAGTTATTTGTATCCCTTTGTTCCCCTTCCACTTTTCTGATCCTATGTTTCTGGATCCAGGACTTTACATAGGAGCACCACCATTTTTCTTGTCATGGGAGGCCTAATATGATGTTTTGCATCTGTAATACCACCATCAAAACGTCCTCAACCCCGGAAATCCTTTCCCTGAGCTCTCCAACAAGCAAATAACATCCTATCATTATTCTTAAAGAACAATAATAACGTTCATGACCACATTTACAAATTATTTTCTCGTAGAATCTGTGACTTCTCCCGCAGCCCCCCTCTCAGTAGCTCATATTTCCCGAGTCAAACTCCCTTTCAGAATGATGTTAAAACACATTGTTGTTGACACTGCAATTTTGCAGACTGGCATGACACTGTCACTTAAAGTGCAGATTTGACGTGAAAAGCCCTCCTCGCTGTTTGTATTTAATATCGCGCCGACAGCTGTATCATTCTTGCACACTGTAATCAAATTATGACAGCGTGGTAAATGTTCCCCTGTGACATTTTCTATTATAAAATGCATATACCCGGTGTCAAACAATGTGTGGGTGGTATCCCTCGGTGGCAAATGGGATTGTAAGTGGCACCGAGTGACATTATGCGTGTGCGCGTTAGATGTAATTGCGCTTGTATATTGATGACATGCATAGGTGCATGTCATCCGGAATTATGATTGTTGTTTTAGAGATAAGGTGAGAAACATCACTTACTTCTGGAAGCTGTATGACACTTTTAACGGTGTCGTTTCACAAGTGTAGTTGAAATGACACACAGAATAATGTTTTGCATAGGTGAAAGCATCCTTACAAAAGCAAATAGAAAACCTAAAATACAGGGAGACAATTGAAAGGCTCCATGGTATCAGTTTAACCAGGCCCCCACACACACATGTGCATGTATGTGTGTGTTAATGTGTGTGTCACATATGCACACAAGGCCAGAAGGACGCCAGCTTGTGTCAATCACCCAGGGAGATGAGATGTGTACCCTTTGCTCTGATATCACACCCTCTTCTCTCCTCTCCTTTCCTTATTTCCTCTCCTTGCATCTCCTTATCTTTCTTGTCCGTTGTTTCTCTCTTTTCCCATCCTGTTCCCTTTTGCTCTTTTTGCTTCATGTCCTCTGTTTGTTTCCTTTCCCGTCTCCTCGCTTTTCCTCTTGTTTCCTCTATTCTCATCTGATTGTTTCCTATCCTCTTCTCTTATTTCCTATTGTTTCCTCATCCTCTGTTCTCCACCTCCTTGTTTCCTCTCCTCTCCTCTCTAGTTCTGGCCTGTAAGGGAATATCGAGTGTCCTCTTATTGGATTGGCTGCTTCGCGTTGGCGGCCCTTTACTCGCCGCCCCTCGGCCTGCTGGGTAATGATAATAAAATTGAAATATCCCGGTACTTATCAGTGTATTACCTCGCTATCAACACCTCAGACACACTCCTACTTTAGAGGTTATACAGGAGAAAGTGTGATCTGATATACAACGGGAACAGAGAGAGGACACCGGCAGAGAAAGTGAGAAAGCTCAAGAGAGGGTGAGGAGGAGAGGGAGGAAACTGATAGACAGAGAAAGGGATGGGGAGAAAGAAAAAGAAAAGTTTTGTCATGGCTACATTTTTAAGGTGCTAATTCTGGGATGGATTGCGGTAGATAGGCTGATGAGGCAGAGGAGGAAGAGAAGGGGGTAATGTGATTCCAGACCAGACCAGAGGCGTGTTAGCGTAAGCCGTTCTCAACACTCCACAGTAGTCTACTGTACATTTGCGGTAATGTAAAACATCTCACATCTCCCCATCTCTCTCTGTCTCTGGGCCCTTTCCCCTCTCTCTTGGCAGTTGTTGCTTTGTGTGTGTGGGAGGTGGGGGAGCGTGCCAAAGCCCAGATCAGGTTTGGAAATTGATTTGAATGAGTGTTGTGGACAGCTGATAGCTATAAAAGATTTTCTCCTTTCATTTCCCAGGGAGTTTCTCCTTTGATGTTGGCTGGTCGTCAACATAGCTTTGAAGCTCGTCTAGAGTGGCCCGCTACTTGATACTGTGTTTGTTGTGTGTTTATGTACGTGTGCACATGACTTCAAGTTTGACCTTTCAAGTTATATTGGTCTTGAATTTTTCTGATGGCAGCGGTGACTTTTATGATAATATAACCAACATTTTACCCCGTGGCATTTAATGTTATCTGATTTAATCAAATGAAGTACAATTACTCATGATAACCTATTTGCATGTAAGCCGATCTGATTTTTGTTATTAAAATCCAGAACGATGCACACAATCATTTATGTACGACAAGCACATCTTCACCTACTTAAAATCTTTAACATATTGGACGCCTAACGTGCCAGCCACCTTCAAATTGCCCTTTGGGGATAAAAATCTCTGAAACGTTATTTTGTCGTTTTATCGGCTGCCTCTCTGCGTTCTTTCGACCGGCCAATTGAACGCTCCGCTCTAATCCCCGGGAGAGAAGATTCTAGTCTGTTGCCACGGATGCTGGGGGGGGTCGTGAGGTCAAGTACGGCTAATTTATTCACTCAGTCAGATTTCCTCTGGCTCGTGGCTGGCAGATGGAGAGGTCTGATATGATATCACCCATCGGAATCACCCGAGGGAGAAGAGAGCAGGGGAGACGGGGAAGGGAGGGAGAGATGGAGGGATGAGAGGAGAAGAGATTGACAGGAGAGATGTTAAAATAAACGGAGGAATGATAAAAATTGGGGAATTAAAAGTGGTTTGATAAAGAGATAGGGGGGTAGCATCGAGTATAGCTCGACACCGGCTCTGGTGTCAAGCTGAACATCGAGCCACATGGCTTTTTATCAGATGTGTGTGTGGGTGAAATGTGTGTACATGCATGTGTGTCCTTATCTTAAGACAAGTGGTTCTGGTCCAGTAAGATCCTGGGAGATGGTAGGACTAAGCGGCTTAGACCAAGATCTGAGATGGAGGAGGGAGGGAGGGAGGGAGGGAGGAAGGAGAGATAGCGCTAAGGAGATGAGAGGAGGAGATGAGGATGGAGAGGAGAGGAAGAGGAGAGGAAGAGGAGGAGAATATTAGGAGGATGGAGGACGAGGAGGGGACATTTGGGAAGAGATGAGATGTGGAGGGCTGTCGAGATCGGAATGGAAAGATGTGATGTGGAAACAGTTTGGGGACGTTTTTTAAAGAGCAGGAGGAAAAGGGGAGGGGAAAGTGGGAGAAGTTTGGGGTTTTGAAATAGTTCTTGGCTTTTTGTCAAAGGGCAGGGCTTTACAGGATTTCATGAACAGTGTCAACTGGAGGACACTTTTTCCCAAGAGGACCTGAATTTGTGGCTTCAACAACAGTGACCGCTTAAGAACACTGTGTCCCCAAAGGTTTTAACTTCAATCCCTGGCTACCAGACGCTCTTTCATTAAAACATTTCCCACTCAGCTCTTCCCACTACAAACAGATTGAGGTCAAGACATTGATCTCTATCAGTTGAAAAAGCATGCCTCTTGTCTCTGAAAGCACCTATCATTAAGAAAAGACAAGGCGGTCTAAATTGAACATGAAAGAGTGTCCATAGGGATTATAATTACTATTTGGCTGAGCTAAATTTAGGCAATTTTGGTCTGCACAGAAAATATATTTTAAATGCTGAAATCTCAAGTAATCTGTAAAGAGAGAATCTCCCAAAGGGCAGCTTGACGGTCTTTGTGATTTTGAAAAACCCTTGAATCCTAAACAACAAAGCAGCTCTCTGAAAATGAAACTAATCTTTGTGTTTTGTGTCCCCTCAGTTTGGCGACCACATGAAGATGAAGAACCAGCTTTGAGGACCTACGGATGTCCACCCCCCCTTCGACCATCCGGCTTGAGTAACACGTCCAACAAACGTTTCAAGTGGGAGGCCTTTACTTCATATTACCTGGGAGGAAGAACGTTATCTTGACAAATTATTGTATTTATAATCAGGACTGATGTCGTCCAAACTGTGAAGCGTGTAAAGGACTTTACCCAACGGCACCTACCTGGCACGGAATGATCTGGACTGAACTGAGCTCAAGTACATTTGGCTGGAGACAGATTAACTCACTTTAGCTTCACTGAAGAGAAATGAATTTAATTCAAGTTAACAAGCACTGACATTGGCTGATTTCTTAGCTAATACATTTCTTTAGTACCAACAGCTCTTTTCTGAGCCCTAACCTTTAAAAAGCCAATTCCCTTAGGTCTCCAACCCAGATTCCCTTAATTCTTCAAACCCTTTTTAAGCATGGATCTCCACAGGGCAGCTTTCAAGATGGAGAGCTCCTCCTACCTTCCCAACCCCCTGGCCTCGCCGGCCCTCATGGTCTTGGCCTCCACTGCTGAAGCTTCTCGAGATGCCTCAATTCCCTGCCAGCAGCCACGTCCATTTGGCGTCCCTGTGTCTGTTGACAAGGATGTCCATTTGCCATTTAACAATGGTTCTTATACTTTTGCATCAATGTACCACCGCCAGGGTGGAGTCCCACCAGGATTCCCAAACAGGGATTTTCCTCCGTCCCTCCTCCACCTCCATCATCAGTTTGCCCCGCCTAACCTGGATTGCTCGCCAATCAGCATGCTGAATCACAGCGGCGTTGGCGCCTTCAGGCCTTTTGCATCTCCAGACGATCGGGACGGATTGCCCAGTGCGTATCAGTCTGCTTTCACCCCGGCCAAGCGCCTCAAAGGCTGCCTGGATCCAGATGCTTCACCCCACCTGCGGTACTCTGATGCAGAGGGGAAAGAGTACGACTTTGGCGGCTCCCAGATTCCTCCTGGAAGTTCTCCCAGCAGCGCCCTGAAAGCCGTCGAGGACAGTGGGAAAAAGATCTTCGCTGTGTCAGGCCTCCTGTCTGATCGAGAGACCTCCTCCAGCCCTGAGGACCGCATTGAACGCTGTAAGTAAATGTTTTACATTGCACTCAAGGACACTAGAACCGCATTGAACTGTGCATACAGATGGGTGACAAATGACAGGAAAAACATAACAGAATTGGGTGCAAGTGATGACTAAATAATATGATCATATGAAATGGTCTTTGCAATCATTTTGGAGCCAGATATTAGACATTGCTTTTTGCCAATTGTATCCAAACACAAATTGAGAGAATGTGGTTTGGACGATTGGTATTCATCCCTGAAGTAGAGTTTAGAGACTACGAAAGTCTAGGAAGCTGCTTTAGGCTGTTTCCCAGGCTTGTTGTAAATTACAAAGTTTATGTTGGGTTTTTTCTTACATAAATATTTGTCACCCATCTTTATGGAATAATAGCTTGTAAGAGACACATTATTGAAACACTCAACTCCCATACTTTCACATTATTGTTGTGAAAGTCTCCTTCAATGCAAACACAAATCAGCCCCAAATTGTTCTTGTAAGATTCAAAGTGATATGTTTTACATTTGGTAAAATGAGGGGTCTAACACATCCCTTTTCAATCATGCATTTTCTTTTAGTTACATAATGTAACACTTCCAGTTCTCATCCAACAACAATTTAAACCCCTAGATTATAGGGTTGTTCTACAGAAAACGATAATAATTAAACTAACATATGCCCAAACCCATACAGCAAGACACTGAAACACACACACACACACACACACACACACACACACACACACACACACACACACACACACACACACACACACACACACACACACACACACACACACACACACACACACACACACACACACACACACACACACACAAATGTAATTCTAACTCTCAAATTAAAACCAAAGTACAACTTGCCGCAATTTGTAAAATAATGCAAATGTTGACACACTAGCATCACACACGCCAATAAACAATCCCATCTATGTTCTCTTGTCATCATCTCTCCTGGCTCCCCCTATCCTTGTTTCACAAGCCCACAAGCTCCACTGGTCACATTAGCATTCACCAGTGGAAGGATGCCATTTGGCCCTCACGCACTGGGAATCTGATTTGTGTGTGTGTGTGGTGTGTGTGTGTGTGTGGTGTGTGTGTGTGTGTGTGGTGTGTGTGTGTGTGTGTGTGTGTGTGTGTGTGTGTGTGTGTGTGTGTGTGTGTGTGTGTGTGTGTGTGTGTGTGTGTGTGTGTGTGTGGGTGTGGGTGTGGGTGGGGTGTTGGGTGGGTGGGTGTGTGAAAGTGACTGGTTCAGAGACCGACCATGCTCTTTGCCATCAGCATTCATCATAGCTCCACGCTGGCAGCCTTGTTGCCAAAAGATTTACCCACATACCCAAAACCTTGGCAGGCCCTGTGAATGAGTGTGTGTTGTAGTGTGAGTGTGTGTGTGCGTGTAATGAATGGGAGGTGGGAGAGGGGTTGTAAGAGCTCCAAGCACAAACCCACAAACACTCTTCCAGACACACAAGCAGCTCTCAGCATGAGCCCCAACATCTCCTACACATGTCAACAAGCTGCATCGGATCTCAGTGACACATTGTGAGAGAAGTACAGAGATGTGTATAATAGAGAAAAGGAAATCTTTCTTATTCTTCCTCATTATGTCACTCCTTTCTTGAATTCATTTAATCTCTCCTTTTTTTGTCTTAACTACCATATTACTACTTTCAATTCACTCCTCAATATCTTTTGGAAGGTGTGTGTGTGTGTGTGTGTGTGTGTGTGTGTGTGTGTGTGTGGTGTGTGTGGTGTGTGTGTGTGGTGTGTGTGTGTGTGTGTGTGTGTGTGTGTGTGTGTGTGTGTGTGTGTGTGTGTGTGTGTGTGTGTGTGTGTGTGTGTGTGTGTGTGTGTGTGTGTGTGTGTGTGTGTGTGTGTGTGTGTGTGTGTTGTGTGTGTGTGTGTGTGTGTGTGTGTGTGTGTGTGTGTGTGTGTGTGTGTGTGTGTGTGTGTGTGTGTGTTCGAGGGTTGCATCCTTGATGGAACCCATGAGAGACAGAGGCGACGACCTGAGACTGATCCGATACAAAGACCACCACAGAAGAGACTGAGAGGGTGAGAAAGAGAGGGATGAAAGGAGGGATGGAGAAAAGGAAATTGGGAAAATGACACCCGGTGGCTGGCTGGGGAGGAATGAGAAAGATATCAAAGAAGCATCTGAAGTGAAATATGGAAAGGGACGAGAACAAAGATAGAAGACAAAGAAAGAAATGACAACATTGCTGAGGAATTAGATCCAATTGTAGTCTCATTAGATGCTAATATATAACATTTTTCGCATCCATTTGAAATATGTGTTTTATCATTTATGGCAACTTTAAGCAAAAGCCACTGGAGCTTAATAGATTCGTGGTTGGTGCCATGTTATCACTACAGATTTGCGAGCACTAAGACAGGCCAGAAATAGAATGGGAGATGGGTCCGGGGCTCCTGTGCTGTCTTTTGGAACGGCTGGATCTGGATCTAATCAGGTTAAATCTTGGCACAAGTAGCCTCCATCTCTACCATAGGCTTCTAATGCAATTGGATGTGCAGAGGCACTGCTCACAGCAAAGAATTATGGGTTCTCCTTCACTGGTTTTGGCTATCCAGTGGAGGCGTAAAGAACAAACAACACTTTGGTACAATCCCATGAGAACAGTGCTCTCGCTGCTTCACACACACATTAGCTAACTAGCAGCCTTCGTGCTGCTTCACACATACCCCTCGAAAGTCTCACCGTGGAAAAAAAAGGGTTTATATTGCTCCGGATAATACCTTGTCATACAGAGATTATGTGGTAAGATAATTAATAATATTGGTAGGAGTTTGAAAATTATAAAATGGCAAGCAGAAAAATAAAACACATTTAAATCCAAACGTTTTAAACACCTGAACTCTCAATATCTTTTTAGTATATCCAAGGGTCAATCCATTGCAAGGATGAGATTGCAAATGTAAGTCTGACTCATGGACTTTGAGCCATTTCAGCCAATAAATCTGTATCTTAATCATGTTCTAATTATTTATATGGATGTAATTTATAGCTGTCATAAAAATGCTGATATCTCTCTACTAAATGAATTACATGTGCCTCTGATTATAGCTAACAGCAAACAGATGATGTTGCCTTTCACTTAGAAACAGAACTTCCTGCATGTCCACTTTCCAGTATGGAATGTAACAGGGCCTCAAAGGGACAGTTCACACCAAAATCCGTCTTGTGCTAGACATCTAGATTGTTTTGGAGTGAGTTCTGAAGATATAGGGCCGTAGTTGTACTTATCTGGAGTATAACGGAACTAGAAGGCAGTCTTGTTTTGCTCAAAGGGCCCAAAACTACATTTGGAAAACTTGAATGGCAACGTCATTTCCCAGAAATCATGACCTGGCTCAAAATAATCCACAGAGCCCGTTGTGAAGTGTGTAATATGTTAAGGAACTATTTGTTTGTACCAAACTACAACAACCAATTAGTTAGCAATTGTCTCTAGCCTTTCTGAGATAGCATTAAAATAGCATTACAGGTGGTATGTTTGTCATTTTTATTTCGTGTTGATTTGTTCCTTCGCTGCAACTCCATTTCAGGCGAAGTTGTAACAGAAGAACTGCTTAGTGTAGTTAAGAAAAAAGTCCTTAAGGATTTAAGTGACCATATCTTGAATGTAATGCAGATTCTTAACACCGCTACTTTTTCACCTTTCTTGCATCCACTAACATCTTGTAAATGTACTTTAATTCTATCCTATTACAATCCAATCATCTTTCATGCTAGATAATCCCAGGTGTGAAGGTGATCCCTTCTTCACACTAAAACTAAAATGATAACTTCCTTGCATGCAGTTCTGTCAAGCCTGCCACTCCGAGCAACAGTGGCCTACTCGGAGCTAAGCCCTCCAAAATCCCCCCTCTGCACCGGCAGGCACGTTGGCTCTTAACTAAACCTGCTAACCTGTCAGCTGCTAAACCTGCACATAAAAGCCCCATCATGCCTTAAGAGGACTGTGCATGTCATATCCTTGTAAAAGCTATTAGCATTTACTGTATAAGGGTTAAGCACAGGAATAAAGCCGTGGAGGGTTTTTGTGCATTTACAGAGGAACAGAGAATGGAATTATTGGATGTGTGATTGGAATTAATGGGAATGTTGACGAATGACACCCCCCCCCCCCCCAGCCTTCTAATGCACTTGTTTGTTTGTGGAGGGGATTTGATGTTTTTGCGAGACGTGTCAATGTGAAGCTTTGTGTGTTGGTACACGTTCCATCATCTTTGTTTTTTCTCCGCCTCTTACTCTCTTCACTTTGTCCCTCCTTCACCGTGTGTGTGTGTGTGCATCTCCTCATGAGTGTGTGACAGCTGTAGTCTGTTTGTTTACATTCTCCCTGCTCTCCACATTCACAAGGCTGAGAGATTTACTGTGAACCTGACCCTGAATGCCTAACCCAGCTTCCTCATCTTCCTTTCCTTTTGATTCTCGTTTTCAACTCTTCAATGGACTACACACACAAATAAGAAATACACTAAATACAACCAAAAAAAGTAAGATTCAAACATCTACAGGAAGACGCATTTAAAACTACAAAAAGAAACAGAAATGCCTGGAAGGGAAAGAAAATAAACCAACATCTCTCAGTACAGAGAGAAGGGAAGGTATGAGGGAGGAGATAAAAGAAAGGATAAAAGCAATAAGGACAAAAAATGTAGGAAAGAGGGAGGATGGTGACATGGGGAGCTGAAATGCAGATCCCATCTGCCGGACTGACATAAAAGCAAAGGAATTCTGAACGGCCCACCATGGACAGGTAGCTTTACACATCATTTGCTTACTTTTAATTGGTTTTAGTCAAATCACATGACATAAAACGCCTGCCTTGACCTAAACCGACGAAGTCTTGTTGAGAAATAGTCACAATCCAAGACTTTACAACTTGCCCCGTAACCTATTTCTCGTATTCCCATCGACATTTAACAGAGTGCATCACACACAGCTGTTAAAACACACCACGAGAGGCCTCCTCTT